TGACAGGCTGTCCTCTTGAACCTTTTAATCAAAGTCAGAAATTCAAGGAGGATATCTAGTTCAAAGAAGAAAATTACAGTGATAACACAGGTGGCTACCAATAGCCATATGGATCAACATGTCAGTTCTCATTTATTTAACTGCTGCAATCTTTTTCCTTTTTTTTTTTTTTTTTTTATCTCAATAGTTCCGTTTCTCTTTTTCAAAAGAAAATTCCAAAATATGTCATAGGAACTATAATTTTTAAAATAACATTAATACAAAATTTTATGGACCTCACTTTTGGGGTCATAAGAACATAAGCAGTTAGTTGCTTCCTCCATTTCTTAAATGTGTTCATATCTACTTCCAATACAAGTTGTTTCATGTAATAGCTGTTAAAAGTGAATGTATGTGTGTTGTAGTTTTAAACATATTAATAATATTTAATAAATTACACAATTTATATATTTTACTTTGTAATTATGTTTTATATTTTATGTTACTAAGTCTTTTAGAGTGAACTCCCAAAGAACAACAGAAATGTTAATGAACCTGTAAGGATAGGAGGTGTTGGTAAAAGCAAGTTGTTAACTGGGCAAGTAAGCATGAGAGAATCCGGTTATCAGCTACTGAGGGAGATGGGGAATTACCTTTTACTCATTAAATTTTCTCAGTGTTAAATCTTACCCACCTGTCAGTAAAAACCTGGCTTAACTTAGTCTAAGGAGATTCTAGAGTTAATATTAATTCATATACAAATATGTATTCCTGTCTGAGCTTCTGAAACCTTCATTGGAAGAAGTTTCTAAAAACAGACTCCATGCTATACAGTGCTATATTTATATTATCTCTGGAGGTAAGTGGGGAACTAGTTCAAGAAGGGAGTAGTATATGCCCGGTACTTCTTGGTACTGCATCTGTAAGTGCTGTTTAGCATAGGGCTTGTTGAGAACAGTGCTTGCAGTTAACTTTCTACATTTTCTTATTATGTACACACTTGCAGAAATGCTCATTATTCTGTAAAAGAGATCTATAAAAGCCTAGAGGAGAATTCACCTTGAGCTAGGAAACTCACTTTGTGAGGAGATCTAGAAGATCTATGTTTGTAGAGAGCACAGGACAACCAGTGACCGAACTGCCTTAAGTATTCATCTGCATGCTTTCTAAAACACTGTTTAAATGTCACCAGTAGTTGGTATTTTGAGTCTATTTATTGTGTAGAGATTGAATTACACCGGGTTGTAAACATGCAGATAGCACACACATAAGGTAATGTCACAGAATAGATGTGTGCAACCTTCTCAGCTGAGGCACCTGTTTGATTTTATATGAAAACATGGTAAGTGCACAGCACTAAACACACCTGGGCACATTTTTCTAAGGCTTTGTCCATACCTGTGTATAGCTAACTCCTCTCTATAGAGGATTTTTTTATGAGATACGTTGTGCTATACATCAGCATCTGCATTCTGCAATATTGTCTTTTGTTCACAAATTACTTGTATTTTTTATTGGGAATAAAAAATAGAATTGCACTGCAGGTGGCAGCACAGGTCCTGCTTGACTTCAGCCTAGTTTGCCCCTCTGGGAAAACTCGGTCACCAGTCTCGTGTTGGTTACAGCTATTAAACAAATCATCTTCAAAGCAGATGATTTTTAGCAAAGAAATAGAAATGACCGCTGAGGCTTTCTCTCCTCCTTCCTTAAAAGAGAAAGGAGGGGAATGAAGTCTAACAGACTTTAAATGCATGTGAGGAAAAAGACTGCTCTGGGCACTAAACTTTTGAGAGATCTCCATAACCAGATGTGCCTCTGTAGAGGTTAATGAATTACCGGCTCCTTTTAAGTATTTTTCTGGTGGTCAGTGAAGATGATGTATTTTACAGGTCTAAAGTGATACAAACAAGGAAAAGCTGCCTTGCTTTGGGTAAATATACCTTTGCCTGATGCACTTAGTCACATGGTCTAAACTTTTGGGCAGACCTGTGAGGTGCCAGGAGTTGGACTTGATGATCCTTATGGGTCCCTTCCAACTCGGGATATTCTATGATTCTATGATTCTATAGAATTCTATAGCTGTAGTACAATGAGTGCTTTCTGAAAGCTCACTGGAGACACAAGCAGCTCCCTGGCAATTTGGGGTAGAGCTTGCTGCAAGGGTACATTTGATCTATGCAGTACAAGCAGAGTACTGCTACACAGACCCCTGTTGACATGTTAGCAGAAGGAGAAGGTTTTCACAACGTATTTAGAAATATGCAAACATGCTCTACTGTCTTCTCCTTAGATTTTTGTTTCCCAGCTAGTCGGCCCTTGCTTGGAAAGGGATAATGATGAAGCAAAATGCTGATAATCATACCAGCTTCAATTCCATGGAATTTGTTACTGTATTTGCTCTGGGGTTTGGAATCCAAACACATGCTCCTCGGTACACATACAAGAAAACAATTTTCCAGAAAACAAAGCTCACCTAGCCTCCTGACATTGTCCAGCAGCTTGCCCAGGGTGCAAGGTGCAGGTAGCTTACTGTGGGATCCTGCCAGCAGCCACAGAGTGATCATACTCAGTTCCTAGAGAGACGATGTTGCTTTTTCACTTTTTAGTTTTTTGGATATTGAATGGCCTGAATAATCTGAAATATTCTGGCTAAACTGTAAGGAGGAGAGTGCAGTAGTCTAAACCTTATAGAACCCAGGATTTTAAAATCAGATTCTGAAATTTAATTCCCCTATGCATCTCTCAATCCTCTCTTCTCTGATCCTTCAATGGGGTGTGTGCTGGGGAGAGCACAGGGGGCATAATTCAGATCATACTTGCAAATGAGGTGGTCTGCTTTGAAATACCTTGGACCGGAATTCTCAAACAGTCTGCTCATCATCTCTAACAATTGTACCCATTCTGTCTCCAGGTATGCCTAAAAAATGTAATGATGACATTGAAGATTACATATGGTTTTTCCTTTTTCAATTTCCTTACCTAGCCTGTGGGGAAAAGAAGCAGGAATCCTCCTGGGAATACTTTGATCATTAGTTAAAACTTGATGGCATTTGTTTTGGGGTATTTAGGGCAGACATTTTAATCTTGCGTTGCTAAAACCATTTATTTACTTAGTTATACATTAGCCTGAATCACACATTTCAGTATCTGGCTAAAGTATCACCTAACACTCAGGAGGCTTATGAGATTATTAGGCTTACTTAGTATTACTGTAGACCTCCTGTGGTACTGAGTATGGTATGCTTTTTTTAAAAACTTTTTAATCCAGTATTAAGAGGAATTGCCATTAAGTTATAATAATTAGCCCAATGTAAAATCTTGAGTGGTTAGTTTAAAACTGTCTAGGCCTCCTATTTGCCTCAAATCCTCTACCACTTTTTTTCTGAATGTTCTTGCAAACACTTTCTATATCATGTGGGCTAGATTTGTCCCCAGTGTAGCTCAACAGAAGTCAGTGGGATCATACTGGAGATGAATTTGATAACACTTGATAATATTTCAGTCACCTAAGTTGCCGGCCTCTTAGTAATACCAGAGCCGTGTGCTGCTGAAGTAATGGAAGCTCATTAAGTGCCCAACCCATTTCTCAGTGAGCCTTGTTTTGTGAAAATATCCATTCCTGTTTCTTTGCTTTCTGTGATATCCTCCTCACATTTAATTTTTATCTGCTTATAAGGTGAATTGTGAGAGGCCCTAAGTTTTGTATACAGGATGCAAGGTAACAGGAATTGTACAAGTGATATCATTCACTGTTTTTACACACATCCACATATAAAAAGAGAAGAATAGGGAGAAGTCTCAAAAGTAAATGGAGCAATAGTAAAAGGTTTTCTGTGAAATGAGTCATGGAAGTAAAAACATGACAGTATCATTTATACGTTGTGCTTCCCATATACTGCAAGTACCATATGCCTTTGAAGTGCTGTTGTAGCATATTGGAGAGGAGTATAAAAATACTCAATATCTGAAGTGATTGATAGGAGATAAATGAAGAAATATTAGCATTGATTATGAATCTTGTTTTGTGAGTGAATTTGAACAACAAGGCTAGTACTTTACTTTTGGCTCATCTGAAATTCCCACCAGAGGTACTGGCAAAGCTTCCTTCACAAGATAACTAGATCTGCCCTAGGATTTCACTGTAAAAGCTCTATAGGCCCTACAAGCAAAAAGGCATCCTGATAAAAGTAAGAATTTTATTGTTTTTAACCTTATGTATAAGCTGAACTTCATCAGATAACTTCTATAAAACTGTGCAGGCAGCTACATATGACTTAGCTAGTTAAAGACCTGATAGTGTTATTAAAGGTGAAATCAAATTGCTTTTATTGAAAATAATTTCATATTTTGTTAAAATTTCAGGTATGCAGGATTTATACATGCAGAGACACAAAACAACCTGTTTATCATGGAAATTTTAACTAATATTGGATTTTTTTTATATTAACGGCACAAGTTGCACTCTGATAGCACACAGTGAATAAAACAAAGTGGGTACATTAAAATTCTGCTGGGATAATTACTTCCAACTCTCTCAATGGAACAAAAAGGCCAGCTGAATATTTTTAAGCAGTTTTAACTTTTGTTTCCATGTTTCACTGTTCAAATTCTCAAGAGAAACTAAAAAGAAACTGAAACAGCCAAACAGAATATGTAGTCTGACACAGAAACTTAGTCTACCAAGCAGACAGAACTATGTAACTCCTGGGTTCACAAATCATTAGTTTATAAATTTGTGTGTAAATTAATCATAGTGATTATTTGTAATTATAGAAAAGCATAAATCAATTGTTGTTAATTCACACTTTTGAGCAGTAAAGGCATAAGGACAAATTTTAAATATACTAATGTTGGCATAAACCCAGAATAATTCATTTATGTGAAAGTACTTAATCCTCACATCAAAGTGAATAAGCATAAAATCTACATCTCAGTTCCCTACATGGCAAGGTGATGCTGCTTGATTCAGCAATCATCATTAGAACAACTGAAATGAACAGACAAAATGGATATGGCTAAAGGTATGCAATTCACTAAAGGTATGTAATTCATATGGCTAAAGGTATGCAATTATATATAATACAGTTCCTAAGAGTTTTGTGAAAATCAATTATCTCTAAGAATTCTTTTCTTTTTTTATATCCCTAGCAAGGGGAAAGGCCGCAGTAAGAGGTGAATCCTTATCAAGCAAGGATTCCATGGAAGAAAAAGAGCTATGGATTCATATCTACTTCAAAGACAAACAAAACAAAACAAAAAGGTAAGCTGTTAGACCTGTTGTTCATAGGACTGATTGTTTATTCCACATAGCAGTATTTGAGTCTATAGCCTTTCTCTGCTGTGGTCAGCCATTTCTGAGAAAGGAAGTGACCGTCAGCATAACATTGAATAAGGATGTAGCTTTGAATTTTCTGCCGTTCAACAGCACTGTGTCAAATGCTCAAGCTGAACTTTCAGACTTCCTAAATGTGGTATAGAAGTCAGAGGTGTTGCAGTATTTCTGCATTCTCTGTACTTCATTAGCTAATGCTAAGAAGCATTTCAATTTACAATGGTACTTGGAAATACGAAGTGTTACAGACACAACTGTTGAGACAGGTAAATGCTTGGCTGCCACCAGTACTACCTGAGGATAGATTGAATAGAAATATTCAGAGAAGAGTAAAACTCAGCAGCACAGTGTGTACTAGTAGCATTCAAACTGGAACCAGAATGGCATATAACTACAACTGAATCAAGTGAAATCAAAATGCAAAATCAGAGCTCTAATTAATTGAAAATTGGATAGCTATTGAAGTCCTGTAGTGTTCAGTCATGTCAGAAATGTCCCTCCACTTCCAGTCATCAAAAATATTTCAAATTTACCCTTCAAAGTATTAGAATTAAAATAAGATGAGAGGATTTTGGCAATCCAAACAATCTCATTGTATTTGTTGGTTTGTTTTGACATCATACTCAGCCTGATGATATTTGAGCACTCCTCTTCCTGAGTCAAGGAAGTCAAACATGAAGACAAAATTCCAAAGGAATACGGATTATTTCACATTACAAGAAGATAAAGTTGTGTAGTTTGCAAAGTCTATCAAACATACATAGATACTACCTAAAAACTATATCTGTCTTACAGATCCTCCAGGTATTGTCTTCTAAAACCTTTCCCATTAACATCCCTGAAAGTAGTCTCTAGTGAATTGACAATCACCTCTACTCACTGCTAGGAGTCCCAGAGCGAGTTCTGTCAGTCTGGATGTGCTGCAGGGTACGGCTGGAGGCTCGTGGTGCTTTCATGGGATGGGAACCTACAACAACTCTTCTGTTCCTTTATTCATATTTGAAGGTTTCTAATCTACAAAGATATCACTAGACTTCCTTTTTGCCTTCCCTTTTACCCATGATATCTAGCTGATAGTTGTTTTTTCTAGAGTTAATTTACAAAATAAAGAAGAAAAAGCAGGTGTTGCAATTGTGTCAGTATACGCAAGTTGTTTCTTCTGTCACTGGGCAATACAAGATCTTTTGTCCTGCACAGGAAGAGACCTGGTCTGGAGGTGGCTGCTGAACCCTGGTCTTTCCTGGTTAATTGCCTTAATAAGCTGTCTGCTTACAGTGTCTTTAAACTTCTGCAACATTAAAAATCAACATTGCAACTGTTTGTGCCCTAACTGCGAGGCTGGTGGGATGGCTGGGGGACATTCTGCCTCCTCCTCCCAGGCAGCCAGACTGCCAGGTGTGCTTTATGAAGCCTGGACACAACACATGCCCTGTGGCAGTACTGGAAGCTGGCAGTTAAGTGCAATAGGAGCAGATTGCAGGCTGGATTCACAGAGAGAAGGTTAGAGTAAATGGCTTTATAATGGAGAACATTCAGGTATAAAACTCTTTGATAGACAGCAGAGATAAAAAGGGAAAATGATGTTCTGTTATGTGCTTTGTGAGCCTCCAAATTATAGAATTGACCTTGTAATAAGAGAAACTTCCTCTGTGAGAAGGAATGAACATACTGCACATGACAGGTGTAGTCACTATTCTGGGATCTCGGAGCTTACCACAACATACATAAACCAGGTGTGAAAAAATGTATTAGAAGCATACCACATAGATTTACATAACCCTCTAAATCCTGAAAACAAGCGTACCACATACTCCATGCCTGAGCTTTTCAGAGCCTGCTGAACAAGCCATGCACCAGAACCAGTGGATGCTTAAACTCTGAAGAGAGAGAAGTGCTGCCACTGCCATGCTCTTGCCCTAACCTGCTGGTTTAGGTTGGTGCTCCTGACTTAAAGAAAAAATCGCAGTAGTGTTGTTTGTGGCCTTGATCAGGAGATAAGCAAGGAAAAGTTTGTGAAGCTCTTCTCTTGTTAGGCCCAGTGATAAAGTTGGAAGAAGTAATGAAAATAATGCTTTAAAACTTGGTAAGAGATGGAATTGCTCAGGCTGTTTGTCTAGGGAATATAATGTATCTTTTACTACCCTGGCTATTTTGGCACTACCTCTTAGTTTCCTCAAACTGCTACAAGTCTTTTATCTGAAGATGCTTCTATTGTATATTAATGAAGTTATCTAGGCAACGTGGGCTAAAGCTGAAACTCCCCCAGCATCATCTTTCTCAACTAGCATTGTCCGGTAGGAAAATAGGGCTGTAAGTGATCCTATTCATCTGAACAAAAAAGAAACTGTTACTGTGGTACTTGTCAGCTGGGTGTAATTCTGATACAGGAGCTGCCCTTTGGAGCCAGGTTCCATTACAGATAGCGTGGTGGTGTCTACTTTCAGGCAGTTCTGAATTCTGACCATAAGACCAGCAGAAGCAGAGAACAGCTCAGAGTGCAGCCATTCCCCACCACAGCTCCAGTTTCTGTGAATATTCACAGCTAGGTTTTATTCACAAGCATTTATTTATTCTGTTACTACAAAAAGAATAACAATTATTTCTGCAAATAATTTGTATTTATAGTGTTGTAAGAATAAATGAAATAATTGATTCCAGGAATCGAAGTGTAATAGTACTACTGACAAAAATGCAAGCATTATCATTATTGTGTAAATTAAGCATATTCCATTAATACTCTCATATATTATGTTTTTTGTAGACCCAAGGAACAATATACACAACCTGGTAGCAGCTACTGGTTTGACAAACTGTTGTGTAAGTAGAATTCTCTTCTGTTTTAACAGCAAGAGGGAAGATAACATCCCAAATGCATGACTTTAAAACAGTCACCATTTTGTTAACTTTACCAGTGCAGTAAGGGCAAGGGATGGTGGATTAAAGTTCATTAAAAGTGCTTTATCTTTACAGATCTGAGTGCTGAACCATATTCTTGATCTCACAGGAAGTACTTTTGAAGGTAAGAATGCAATTATCTTTTTGAAATACACTGTATTAAGGTTTACTTGGTTTACTTTTCTTCTTTGTATGTCACTTGTGGCTTTTTAACTGATAGATACTTTGTATTTCACAAATGTGTATGAATGGAAACAGATCAACTTAGAAGCTACTACGCAAAGGAAATGTTGACTATTTGACTGAAAAATTCTGCTAAGAATATAGGAACTTATTACTCTAGCCTCTTTCTCCATGTAAGTGAGAGCCTGTAGAGACATATGTAGATGGAAAGAGGTAAAAGTGTACGTGGGGCATGTTTTGTGGGTGTCTTCTAACAGGTTTGCAAAAGGTGACCAAGAAAAAAAATATTTATTTATTTATTTATTTATTTATTACATTGTAATAGTGTAATATGTGTAATTCCTAAGGGGGTACCACCACTGCAAACTGTCTGGGGTCCAAAACCAATATTTTAAAAGTCTCTTCTCCAAGAAATTGTGTCCTTTTCTCAGTGGTCCACATGGCTATGGCAATGATTCTTTTGGACTGATGGGATCAACAATGCAGGGATCAATAAACCTGCAAAGAAGGAGGATGTGCTAGAAAAGGCAAGATATGGCTGAACATTTTGTTACAAAGACAGAATGAAAAGATGGCAATTTACGTTCCAGCAAAATCCTGACATTTTGACAAGCCGGGTAAATGAGATTCTTTTGCATACTTCATCTTATAAACTATGACAGAAAGGATGGAAGCTGCAAGGCTGCCTTGCAAAGGCTCCCTTACAAGTTTAGGAACCAGCTGAAGCAGAACTGCTGGAGCATGTCAGGGCAGACTGACGACTTATAATTTAGACAGGATCTGTAGAATAGTTTAAGATTGCAAGGCTACCCGGTTGCTTTAAAGCATATATAATACTAATGCCTTTGGGCTGTGAATTTTGTGTTGTGACTCCATAATTTTACCCTCTGGGCACAACGATCTCTGAAACAGAAAAGGAAGGACGTCCGTGGAAAGCAGGATCAGTGTGTACTGATTCTTCTAAGGATATATAATGACATAAACAGATGTTTCAAGTGTTATTTATAGTTTGATTAAAAAAATCACATAAGGGAGTGCGCAACAACAACAAGAAAAGTGTAAGACTTGCAGAAATAGATTGCAAATTTATCAATAGTTTCCAGAAATTTCTCTTAGATATGATGAATAAATAATTCACAGTCTGCCAATGCTAAAGAATATAAGTAGATTTATGTTGTGTTCTGTTTTTTTTGTTTTGTTTTGTTTTTGTTTTTTTTTTTTTTTTTTAATTATTATTATTTAAGAAATTAAACACTGGTAAACAAAGAAAAATACCATTTAATCTGTGTGTAATAGTTACACTGTTACATAGGAAGCCAGTTGTTCTAAAATAAGTGTTTCTTCATGCACCAAAACATGTTTTGGACACAAGATTATATCTGACCTTCATGAATATCTGGTGATGTGTATTTCCTTCCCTCAGCCCCCCCTCAGAAAAAAAAAAAAAAAAAAGGGATGAGGATGACAAGGAATGACTAAAAATATATCAGCAATAAGTTGAGTCATTCTTATCTTACAACATTACTTCTCACAGTACAATTCTGGGGAATATGTGCACATGCAACTGTTCCTGTAAGAACACTTTGTACACTTTGTATGGAGGACCAATAGAGGATTTTGTTTGTACTTGCCTGTTACATATTCCTCTGAAATGTATGTGAAGTGGCAGCCAGCCCGCAGATATATGTGATTAGCACTTGTGTTATTTTTTTTAATTGCATCACACTTTTATAAAAACTGAGCTCAGATGACAAGTTGGAACACAGTTAAGGTGAACGGGTAGTTCTTTTTTTACTGTCTAGGTTCTAAATAATTAAAAGAAACAGGGTGTGGAAAAGGGTCTTGATTGAGAGGTTGGCCTTGTTGTTTCTGTCAAGACAAACTTCTGCCACGGCATATGTAAACAGAAAAACTGTTGAGGTCAAGGTCCTCACTGAATTTTGGTCTTCTCTCTAACAAATACCCAAAACAGTTTCATGCTGAATTAGGGCACCATAGTGTTTAAAATATTATGATTCCCTTAAAGGAAATTGTAAGACTCAGGTGTTTCTAATGAAAAGAGTGTGGAACAGACTGGAATAAGGCAATATTTTAGCCGTATTTTTAGCCATAATTTGTCCTAATCTAATGGGCTCTTTATAGTAAACCCGGCCTGTTGTGGCTATTGCTAACTATGGTTGTGCTCTTTAGACTGAAATGTTTTTTGATTTTGTCACAAGATCCATTTTTAGAGAGTTCTATTTACTTTCTTTTGACCATCTCTAGAAAGAACTGAACATATTTCATTATGTGGGAACTAGTCAAAGTCCTTGCAATGACTGTTCAAAGTTATTCTGAAGTCCATAAAATCATTTTTAGTATTTTGTTTTGTACAGTGATCTGCTGATTGTACAGTTGTGTATGTTCTACTAATAAGCAAGTAAATTTTTGCATCAACATTATTAAATCCAGAGTGCTAGATCTTTCCTTAGATTTATTTTGATATAGAACAGAAATATCCCTGTCAGTACTGCTTTCCTGTCTTAAAATGAATATTCTTCATGTCAGGAAGAATATACAATTCCATGAAAATATAGTATCATGTTTGGGATTTAGTACTCTGAAGCTGTGCTTCTGATGGGGCTTTTCAGTTTTGTCATAAACTTTACATTAAGACAATGTTGAAACTGCATTCTCATTTGACTTTATGTAGTGTGCAAGCCTACTGATCTCAGTAGTACAGTAGACGAAGTGCTGGTTTGATCCACGATCATTAAAAAACTAGGTGCCCACTTGGACAGAAAAATCAATACTCAGGCCCAAAAGCGTGACAATGCATGCTACCATAGGTATGGCATCTTGAAGCAGGACAGTACATATTGATAGGTCACAACTAATGAACTAATTCAGTATATTGCAGTCTCTGAAATGATGCAGATACTTGGGTCTCGTGGAGCACAGCAGATATCTTGGTAATACTACAACAGATAGCTTCTCCTGCTGCCTAAAAGGCAGAAAATTTCTGCCAGCCACTACCCTGGAAAAGAAAGTAGTTCTAAACTCCACATGGATCTGAGCAAGTAATGAAAGTGACATTTTTACAGAATACAGATGTTATGTCTGCAAGCGGGTACACGTTTCTGTTTCATGCATGGAATATGGCTTAAAAACAAAGATGCAATTATGTAATGTAATTATATGTTCAATGCTTGCAAGTCTACATAATGACCCAAGAATGAGAAGCCAGATTTGTATAGCTCAGGGTAACAAAAATGATTAAAGTTTTTTAATTCAAGAGACTAAAGAAGAACTATCAAACTTTGTCTTGACTTCCCCTCTCCTCCTTCCCCAGAAAGCATAGTGTGGTGGCTATAGATACTAGATGTAATAAAGAATTATTCCCTCTTTTATATTCAAATTGGTTATTTTATGGCTATTGTTAAAAACAGATTTGCAGATAATTTTCCTGTCTGATTTCATGTATAATATAATAGTAAGAAGGGAATTGAACTAGCTTGAACAAAAAGTGTTAAAGAATGAAGCGATTGATAGCTTCAGAAGTAGGCCTCTTTCAACGCCACCCTTTAAAAAGCCTTCTTTCAGTTCTCCCTTGCTTGAAATTTCTCCTTGAAATGTACTTCTTTGGAGGATCAACAATCCTTTTTATCACCAAATTTGTATGACTGACTGCTATGTTATTTGTATTGTGTTCTCTTTTAAAACTTCAGTCAGTTTAAAAAGATTTAAAGAGAACAACAAATGTATGTTATTCCTGATGAAAGGAGATAATGTGGAGGTCTAGCATGCTTTTTTTTTTTTTTTTTTTTTTTTTTTTTTTTTTTTAAACCATGTACCTAAGTTAATTGAAAAGTAGCAGAAACACAATTAAAAAGAAAAAAGAACACATTAAGCCTTTACCAGCCTAAGGCAAAAGTGAGACAACTTTCTGAGGAGAGTGTTTGCTAAAAAAAAAAAAAAAAAAGTGAAGGAAGCTTATGTGCAAAGTTAGTTTTCTGCTGTTTTGCTTCTAACTGTACACTGTGTAACAGGATTGCATCACAAAAGTACTTGATTTCACCAGTTACTGCTCCTAACATAAATAAACAACCCACGAGCCTTCAAATATTGATTTAGTACTTAGATTAAAAGACCTAAAATTATGCAATTCCCTTGCTGAAGCCAGGAATGAGGTGAGAAACTATTGACTATTTCAGAGGTTTCATCTCATCATAGGTGAAAAACAGAGATCTTTTAGATTGGCCTTAGTCTCTACTCAACTTACCTTTCTCTTGCTTCTTTTTTACCTCTTTGATAAGGATGAAAATTAGGGGTGGTACAGAACAATTCCACCATCTGGGAAGTTCTGTTGTACTGATAACACTCCACTGAAATCATCGTTGTTTTTTAGTTACTGGAAAGATACAAAGCAGTTGCGATGGGAGACAAAGAGATCCCTTTCATTCAGATTTGTTTTCAAAGACAGTGTGACATACTGTTAGCATAGAACCATAGAATATCCCGAGTTGGAAGGGACCCATAAGGATCATCAAGTCCAACTCCTGGCACCACACAGGTCTACCCAAAAGTTTAGACCATGTGCCTAAGTGCACAGTCCAATTACTTTTTAAATTCAGACAGGCTTGGTGCAGTGACTGCTTCCCTGGGAAACCTGTTCCAGTGTGCGACCACCCTCTCTGTGAAGAACCTCTTCCTGATGTCCAGCCTAAACTTCCCCTGCCCCAGCTTAACACCATTCCCATGGGTCCTGTGACTGGTGTTTACAGAGAATAGGTCACCTGCCTCTCCACTCCCCCTCACGAGGAAGTTGTAGACCGCGATGAGGTCCCCCCTCAGCCTCCTCTTCTCTAGGCTGAACAGGCCCAGTGCCCTCAGCCGCCCCTCACACGTCTTCCCCTCTAGGCCCTTCACCATCTTTGTCGCCCTGTTGCATTAAGGCAGTTG